AGAATAATACAAAAGAACGATATCTCCATAGTTTTTATAGATATACTTGATCAAATTATTACAATAAATTTGTCACATTACTTTTACTATTGTCCATTATATACAGATTGATTACAATTTTATGTTATAGCAATTAGCTCCTATAAATATACAAAATAGAGAATAATATACAATGAAACATTTGTATTAAATAGTGTAATCTAAAATTATATGTGGGCTTAAAATGTTTAGACAATCTAAGGTGAAGGGGAATTTGGAGTCAAATTCGGAAATTCAAATGGCATCTTATACTTAAAATTCCATAAATAGGTGGAGTATTTATTCAATTACATTTTAATGTTTAAATTTTTAATTTCCATCTACCCATTGACGATATATTACACTCATTAGTTTAGACAGGGGGGAGTAATGGGAGAGTACTGTGGTGGCACGGCACAGTCCGCAACGTTTGGATAGTGATCCACTTGCTGAAACATAAAATTGTAATCACACTGTATATTAGTCATTTTCTTATTTTCTGTAATTAATCCTAAAATTGGTTTCCTCCACTCTTCTATGTTACTTATCTTCCTATTAATTTCTTCATACGGACTACATTCTATTTAACGCACATATTCCCATCGTAGTCATCCCCTATAATTTTAATCTTGCCCACAGCGTGTTCTATAACTAATCAAAGCGACCCGTATTACACACCATGTCTCAATATAAATACCTAATCTCAGTGGCGTAATTGAGTTTCAAAGTAATAATATTTTGTATACTTAAGTTTTTTGCCATTGTTTTCGTATTAAACATATCTCATGGTTTTACACACTAAAAAAACTATTTAATTAGGTATTCATTATGGCAGAAAAAATATCGAATTTTTTTCAATTTTAGAAAAAAAACGGTAAGTAATGCAATCCACAATTCATAAAATTCTAATTTTGGTTGATCTCTGGCTTTTTTAATGCTCTATAGGCTTCAAAATTGTATTTTACTGCCCAACATTTTTATAGTTATCTCAATATTAAAGTTTTTTTTCATTTTTTTATGTGTATTTTATTTTTGTTATCAGTCAAAACTAAAAACACAACTACTTTATTTTTTAAGCTTTTGACAAAACAACTGATAAATTATTAATTTTCAATCCCCCTCATTGAAAAATCCTGCTTACTCCACTAAAACTGGTGAATTCTTTTGAAAAATCATTTTTAGAAATTATATTTATTATAATGCAATTTCAAATGAAAACAATTTCAACAGTTAAGATCTATCAATCGGTTTATTTTTACACACGGTCGTACGTCAACCGGTAAGAATTTAATTTCCATAATTTCCAAATTTGAATATATATAAAATTTAACAAAAAAAAAATGATGTGAGCACGCTTAGTGAATCATCCTATATTTTATATATTCAGTATAGATGATTTTGAAAAATTTTACTCGATATTATTTAGGCATTAGAATTGAATGTCATTCAAGTTGTAACGTGTATTAATTTCCTTACTCTTGAAATATGATTTTTATAAAATATGTTAAAATGTCCGTGCTTACGGGTAAATTAATACCATACGCCAGTGGCACACAAATCGACTTGCGGGCTGTCAAAGCCACGCCAGAGGTCGAAAAAACTCAATGAGCTTTTATCATTAACGTACATATCCACAACATCGTTAATTATGTACAATAGTAGACAGTAAATAAACTACAATCGTATTCTTAAATCATAAATCAAGAGTAAGGAAATTAATACACGTTACAAGTTGAATGACATCCAATTCGAATATGTATGTATCGATACAATTTTTCAAATTCATCTATGCTAAATAATGTACATGTTACGGTAAATGTTGTAAAATCGGTTATTGTTGTTGAATTTATACCTTTTTGTATAAGTTAATTTTAACATTAGGGTGTATTTGTCTATTATTAAACTTAAAGATAAGAACATTTTTTTATATCAGTACGTTAGTTTTTTTTCTATATTTAAAATTTCAAGTGAGTAACGAACGTGTAAAATATTACAATTTTAAAATTATTCTATCTCGCTTAAAAATTAAAATATCTAAAAAAAAAACCACCGTGTAAACACAAAAAATTTTCTCGCCTTTAAGTTTGATAACAGGCCGATATACTTTAATAATAAAATTAACGGCACAATATGGGTTAGTATATAAATATAACAATATTAACAATTACGTACTTAAATTTTAACAATTTTTTTTTTATATATGCTAATAAAATTGTATATTGTTGAATTATTATGATATCGGTTGATACATTGTCTATTTTAGATAATTATAAGAATGGCAAATTTTATTATTTCATACAATAAACACAACAAGAATTACCATGCTTAAATAATTTTTTTTTTTTAGGTGCAACAACAGAATACGTCCATAAGGTAGTTAAAGCCGATAATTTCGAATACTTAGACTTTTCACAACATTTAAGGAGTATCCTGAGTATCCACTTAAAAGTGAAATATCTCGTTAACGGGTTGAAAAAAATCAAAAATGTTGACACCGCAATTTATTTAAATTAATATTACATCTATTTATGTAATTTTTTTATATGGGTTCTCATTTGAAAAACCAAAGTTAGTATTGCCACAGAATACTCCTTAAATGTTGTGAAAAATCTAAGTATTCGAAATTATCGGCTTTAACTACATTAAAAAAATTCAAAGAATCAGAATTCGAATACATCGAGAGTAGTATAAAAAGGGGTGTTCTAAATCAGACGCAGACGCAGGTGCAAGATTTTTTTTTTTACAATTTTTTTTCCTACATGCACCACGTACAGGGCGTATAAATAGGTCCTTTATTTAGACCACCCCCCCCTTTTTTTCCACACTGTTATCACCAAATACTACTATCGCCTTTTCCTAACTGCCGACCATCACCACATACCTACACACTCATACATACGCACATAAACTTATACATATACCTACAAACAAATTACACACACACACACACACACACACACATATTTCCCCCCCCGTCTATAATATACATATAGCCGATCCTTCTCCGAAAACGAAAAGAATGTATACATACATACATACATACATACATATATATTGACAGCAGCGCGCATTGTGTTTCTTGCCTGTAAGATCCTGTACGATTCTGTAAGATTATGTACGATCCTGTAAGATTCTGTAAGATCCTGTACGATCCTGTATGAGTCGGTGTCTTAGCCCCACACCAAATTTGTATACCGTATATAATATGCTTGTAGACAGTGTATATATTTTAATAAGTTGTTATTATTATTTTTCTAAATAATATTTTTCATAACGTACCATTAGCAATCATTATTAACGAGCTCACCATACCCCGCCCGTCTATTAGGCGGTCAACGCATATCGTATTTCTCCGAATGTCGGCGACTGCCGATACAAAGGTTGATATATAAAGTTGTGTCTTCACGCGCGTTACCATACCGTCGAACAACCTAAATCACCCCGCACCATCCTATACGCGCTCTTCGTCCATATCGTAAGTTCAAGTACCTATAGTAAAATAATATTTTATAACGGTNCTAGAAATGTAAGAAATAATTACTATTTACACCATTAAATATTATCGGATTATCTATCCGTGACCACAACGACGGGACGATCAACACCGTGCAACACCGTTTACAGAAAGTTACCGCCTTTTTATGTACGGTTTTTGGCATAGTACTACACGATTTTGCGATCGAAAGACGAATCGACGTCGGTGAAGCCGGGAAAAAAGCAACGATTTCCATCCTTGCTTTTTTCACTATGGCAGCGGTTTCTTCTTTGAGTGTACGTTTCCTACCTACAGGGAACAGAAAGAAAAAAAAAACCTAAATCAAAACTAATTCCCTCGCTATGTGGTGGGTCATAATAATATAAATCTTACCTTCGTTATCGTATCCTTCCATATCATCGGTGGCTTGACATACATTCGTCAACAACGCGTCATTTTCTTCGTCGGTAGTCCAAGTCGAAATCGATGATACTGTAGATCAGAGGTTCCCAAACTGTGGGTCGCGATTTTATTTTCGGTGTGTGTCGCGTTATATTTTTAAATATTACATTTTTTATACATCTATTACTTTTCGTCGTTGTTCACATTCAGTTTTATCGTCAATCGTTATCTGTGAGTGTGACGATTACGAGTTTACAGCGACCGAGTCAAAACGACGCGATTCGATTAATAGTTATTGAAAAGATAATGATTTATCGGAACACACAAATTAGTAGGTATCTGCACGACGTTCAAAACTTTTGATTATTTTCAGTTACACGCGGTACATTGAATACGATACATGTACGCAGTTGTATATTTAATATTATTTTTTCTCAAATAAATTCGTTTTCTTTGTACTTTTGTACAACTATGGACAAATGGTTAAACAAATAGTCAATGACTCAAAGTTAAGAAAAAACAGAAACAATATCTGCGTCAACAGTTAAAAAAAGAAAATTTAATTACGATGAGCCTTCAACAAGTTCTTCTGAGTCGAAACAAAAAAATTCTTTAAGAAAATATTGTTCTGAATATTTGCGAATTGGATTTTCGTGGAATGGAGACGATGAACACCCACGTCCACAATGTGTTATTTGTGGATGTATACTTGCAAATGAGAGTATGCGACTAAATAAACTACATCGACATATAGATACGAACCATCCAGAAATGAAGAATAAACCACTCGATTTTTATGGAAGAAGACTAGAATCTCTAAAAACGTCAAAAAGTAATATTTTTAATTTTACTGCAATTAACCAAAAAGCTACGTATGCCCCATATAAAATAAGATTACTTGTAAATTTCTCAAACTGGTAAGCCTCACACAATTGGTGAGTCTTTAATTTTACCATCAATAAAAGACGCAGTCGGGATCATGTTTGATCAAAAGAGTTTAAAAGAAGTTGAAAAGTTATCGCTTTCAAATAATACAGTTCCACGTAGAATCGACGAAATTTCTTAATGGGTAGAATATAAACTGACCGAAAGAGTTAATTTGAGTACATAGTTCTCATTACAACTAGACGAGTCCAGAGATATGCAAGGCTTATCACAGATGATTGTTTTAGTACGTTGCATATGGATGAATCGAGGTGATAAATGTCGGCGAAAAAATGGTCATTCGATGATATTGTGGGTCGCCAAATTTTAAAAATTTTCCAAAATCGGTCTGTACAATAAAAAGTTTAGGAACCTCTGCTGTAGATGGTCCGGCCTGCGGGAGAATAGCCGGCGTGGCGACTATTCCGTCACGATGAACAATTTTAACGTGGATATCGTGGTTGTCTTTACGCGCGAACATTTTCGGACACGGAGCACATTGAAATTTTACTCCGTTGCGCGATTTAGCGTGGCGAGTCATGCGCTACGTTTGACGTTAAAAAAACTTTGCTGCAACCGGCGAAAATACATTCGTACGTATTCATTTTTAATCGGATATAAAAACGAACAAAAAAAAAATAACAAGTTAATCAGCAACGAAAATTATTATGACTTGAAAAAAAAAAAACGGTGATCGCTAGGGAAAACTGTAAGGCACTTGGACACTGGTGTGAAGTAAAATTACTACTGACGTTCGATCGTCCCGTCGTTGTGGTCACGGATAAATAATCCGATAATATTTAATGGTGTAATTAGTAATTATTTCTTACATTTCTAGATTATATTGTCGTTGACAGAAATTCGTTGTAACGGTGGGTAGATGGGCGGGGGAGAGGAGGAGGCAAGCGCGACCGCAATATAAAGTCGCATAAATAATCAGCGCCCGGTAGATGGGCGGGAGAGAGGTGGTCACTAGTGATTGGTCTTGTCGATTATAATTCTTCGGTCTATCGATGACCGTTATAAAATATTATTTTACTATAGGTACTTGAACTTACGATATGGACGAAGAGCGCGTATAGGATGGTGCGGGGTGATTTAGGTTGTTCGACGGTATGGTAACGCGCGTGAAGACACANATCGTACAGGATCTCACAGGATCTTACAGGATCTTACAGGATCGTACATAATCTTACAGAATCGTACAGGATCTTACAGGCAAGAAACACAATGCGCGCTGCTGTTAATATATATGTACGTATGTATGTATACATTATTTTCGTTTTCGGAGAAGGATCGGCTATATGTATATTATAGACGGGGGGGGGAATATGTGTGTGTGTGTGTGTGTAATTTGTTTGNAATATGTATGTACGTATGTATGTATACATTATTTTCGTTTTCGGAGAAGGATCGGCTATATGTATATTATAGACGGGGGGGGAATATGTGTGTGTGTGTGTGTGTGTAATTTGTTTGTAAGTATATGTATAAGTTTATGTGCGTATGTATGTGTGTGTATACTCCGTTTCAAAAGAGAACATACCGCTTTCGCGCATACTGATTTAGAGTTGGCGATCGTCCGGACCTAAATTTCTCCCACCGTCGTCAAAACAATGCACCGATCGTGCCCGACGGTCACTAATTATGCACGACGGTCGCTGTCCGACGAGTTTACACCGATGTCAAATAGACTTTTTTTTTTTTTAACAATTACGTGATATCTGACTGAAACGGCGATGCTTGGTGGGGAGATGCGCGCCGCCGAACGCAAACTGGTTGTCAGAGCGGTATGTTCTCTTTTGGAACAGAGTATAGGTATGTGGAGATGGTCGGCGGGTAGAGAAAGGCGATAGTAGTATTTGGTGATAACAGTGTGGAAAAAAAAATGGGGAGGAGTGGTCTAAATAGGTCGAGTACGTGGTGCGTGTAGAAAATATTATTAAGGGGATGGGGGAAAATATTGTACGTCTAAATAGTCGATAATGTGGAAAAAACAGACGGACGCTTTAATTTGATTTATATATAATTCATAATAATAATGATAAAATCTTAAATACCTACATTATATCATTACAAATATGAAATATAAAATATTACCTGGAGCCTTAGATCATAGGTGAAGTTTTGTGAGTGGGTCGAAGACACAAGCAAATTATATTGACTAATATTAATGGTTTGTCCAATCTAACAAAAAAAATTAATAAATCTTGGTTAAAAAAGAAACAGTGTATAAAAAGTTATAAAGATGTAAAATACACCAGACAAGGGCCGGACGTATTAGAGTTGCATACATCATTTTTTTTAAAAACAAAATTATAATTACAATATTATTGAAATAACAAAGTAACATGGATACTATTAATAAATGACAACGGTCTCGTCGCCATAGAAATTATTAATGTACGACCACAAATATTAATAATAAATTAGATATATATGTACATCATAGGATTATAATAGGATTTTTTTTTCTTTGCTGCTCTTCTAAAAGAACTCCTTATAGTAGAGTACTTATAACAGTGCTAAAATAAGGGAAGGGGACGCAAGGGCTCCTCAATTAATTTTTTTTTTTTAGCGTCCACTTATTAATTATTTCTCCTGGGACGGGAAGTAAATAATGATACTTTCAAAAAATATTTATTGTCCTATCAACAACTCAAATTATTTATATATTTTTTAGATTCCGAGTGGAGCGAAAAAGCCTATGTTTATACAATGATGTTTATTTTATTTCCGAGAACAACTTTTTTACCAGCAATTTCGCTTCAATTTTGCAAACTGAAATTTGGTTTATACAGATATTTGTAGAAAAAAAAAAACTTCTTGTAAATTTGGTTCATTCACTCTGTATATGGCTCTACGTACGCTGTACCCTTATAGTTGTATTCGATTAAATTTACTTCCTTAATTTACTTAATGAAACATATATTCTGTCTCTAGTTTAAATATTATTTTTGAAAAATTTGAAATATGTTATTATTTCAATAAAATAAAGTTACTTAAGTAATTATAATTATCTACATTTTAGATTCTGAGTGTAGCGAAGAATATATTGGTTTTGCAAAGATATTTATTTTTATTTTATTTTTTTTTTCTGTGCAATCTTTACTTACAGATATACATTAAATTCCTGTCTGTGCCCTACCTTCCCAACTTCCCACCTACAACAGTGACTGCACACGTTCCCATTATCCTAGGACAGCTTTTTTGTTTGTAATTTAGTGAAAAATATTCGTAGAGACTTGAAGTTTTGACAGAAAAAACATATTTACCTTTTATAGACGTAGTATAGTTAAACCATTTAAGCCATTTTTAAGTTATAAAACTTTTTAATTTTTATTCGGTAGGTATACTGTGAATAAAATTTTCAGATCAAACAGAAATACTTGATAATTTAACGGGAAATTCATTATAAGTAGTACTTTGTGGTCAACAAGAAAAAGTTGAGTTTAATATAATATTTTTTTTTTTTTTATAAGAATTTGAATATCAAAATTTGACAAAAATCATAAATATTACAGCCTTTTAAACATGTATAACCGAACTCCGCTCAGAATCGTGTTTTGTTAGCAAAGACTAATCGTTGCGTATAGGTATATATTAAAGTAGATAATTTCGCCACTACTCAATCTATTTGTTTCTTATTTGTTTGATTATTTTTCATAGAGCTGTGCCCTCTGATATTTGTTGCGATACTTTAACGTTAATTACCATATCCGTCAAACTTATCTTAAGTATTATCATGTAGTACCACATCTCAAAAGTTTACATTATCTTTTGATCTTGCAACACGCCTCCTTGGATTCCAAAATGGAACGTAAAGAGCAGTCGATATTTATATCTTATTCTTTCCATTTAGTCGGAGCAGTTGGTTGGCTATTCCTACTATACTAGCCGGCCTTTTGGACCGAGTTATTGGACTTATATAAATAAAGGTGATATTTTATAAGTCTAAGAGACTAAAGACCTGTGTTCGTCATTTTACAACATTTAACAACGATCAAATTTATTCCAATAAATATTCTGACTAATTAATATTAAAATAATATAAATACACTTGACTTAAGTGACCCTGATCTCCCAAGATGGTTAAGGCAATACCAGGTGAAGCGGAGTACAAGTGATATGTGGTGATTGATATTAATAGAGTTAAATATTATTATAATCACTATATTAGAGTTACACACGCGGATATACTATTTAAGACTCGGTTGTTGTTGGGACTCGACTATGGTAACGACTTGACTTGCGGTTCTGACTCGATTAGTTTATTAAACATACATAGTTACGTTCGTATTCCACGCTTCAGTATTATGCCGAGCTAAGCGAAACGCGAAACGACGAACGAGCTGTGACGAGTCAGAGAAACTGTACCATTACAATCTTCTTTGGCAATCGTCCACGTTTCGCTGCTATAGAGCATTTTATCTAAAACGTATATTTTTATATCAATATTCGCTTTTCAAACAATCCTTTTGAGTAACCTAACCTAGCACTCTGTCGTATTTATGGTCTAATTGTTGATACTGGAGAATGCTGACCAACGAAGAAATCTACTAGCTATTGTCAAAAGCAAACGTAGAAGCGTTTATCAGAAGTAAACGTATAGAATGGGGGGTAAGACGTGTGTGACGAGATAATAGTATTTGCAAACAAGTAAAAATATGTGAAATCAACGGTAGAAGACCCAAAGACAAGGTAAATATATGGACACACACATTGAAAGCAGACCTTGGAAATATTGCGCAAGGGACACAGCTGGAAGCTAGTAAAACTAGGGAAACATGGCGGGAAACGGTTGAAGCAACGAAGGCCTTGAACGAGAAAGAAGAAATATGTTCATCAAAATACGATAACGTTTCGGTTATTTTCTTTAATATTTACAAAGTTATGTCATTCTCTAAAATCAATAACATTATAATATAAAACAGGTGTGTTTAGATATAGGTAGGTACCCAAGGAAATTCGTATATTATACGATTAATAATAATTAATAAAATGTCCGGGGGTGGGATATTAATAATTTATCACTCGAACCGTTTTAATACGATGATTAATTTATTATAGCAATTAACGCGGTGTTTAGATTCGCATCTTGACGTTATGATATTATTATTATTGTTATTATACTTCTGGAAGTCACATGCCGTGGGCCGCCGGCGGTGGCGTCGTCATTCGAGTTGTATTCGAGTAAATTTCTACCCCTCACCCCCCCCAAAAAAACGTCCGCGCCTCGTCCGTACCAGCGTATTATAGCGTACTACTAACTGTGGTTTCTTTATTATTCGCACTGCTAGGAAATTAACGTCCCGGAATCGGAATTTTACCAGTACACAATGCCGAGCTGAAAATAAATTGGACAAGTTTTACACTCGGCAACAAAAGTTTTCACAACTCGAAAAACCTGTTAACGACAACATGACTTATTATACGGATGCCCGGCATGCCAACTTTATGATATATATACTTAATACTGTATAGGTGCTGAATA